ACAGCAGTGAAATACTGTCTGATATATTGCTGGAAAATTTTATGAATTAGCCTTGAAACATTGTCTGATATAGTGCCTGAAGATGAGCCCCTCAAGTCAGAAGGCACTTAAAGTATGACTGGGGAAGAGTTGCTTACTCAGAATACAGCCGATCTTAATGATATGGATGGAGTAAAGCTTTCGGGACCTCCATTTGCTGATGTGGCACGACTCAACATGAGAAGAAACAGCTGCAAACATCCATTAATAATTAGAACATGGAATTACGAAGTATGAATCTAGGAAACTTAGAAGTTGTCAAAAATGAAATGGAATGCATTAAGATTGATGTCCCAGGTATTAGTGAGCTGAAATGAACTGATTTTGGCCATTTTGAATCAGACAACCATATGATCTACTATATCTGGAATGACAAATTGAAGAGAAATGGTGTGGCATTCATCACCACAAAAAATGTTTCAAGATCTATCCTGAAGTACAATGCTGTCAGTGATAGGATAATATCCATATGCCTGCAAGGAAGACCAGCTAATATGACTATTATTCAAATTCATGCACCAACCACCAAAGCCAAAGATGAGAAAATTAAAGATTTTTACCACCTTCTGCAGTCTGAAATTGACTGAACATGCAATCAAGATGTGTTGATTATCATTGATGACTGAAATGCAAAAGTTGAGAACAAAGAAGAATCACCAGCAGCTGGAAAATATGGCCTTGATGACAGAAACACTGCTGGAGATCGCATGACAGAATTTTGCAAGACCAACGACTTATTCATTGCAAATACCTTTTTTCAACAACACAAGTGGTGGCCATACACGTGGACTTCTTCAGACGGAGTACATAGGAATCAGATTGACTACATCTGTGGCAAAGGTGAAGGAGAAGCTCAGTATCTTCAGCCAAAACCAGGCCAGGAGCTGACTATGGAACAGACCATTAACTGCTCATATGCAAGTTCCACTTGAAGTTGAAGACAATTAAAACAAGTCCACAAGAGCCAAAATATGACCTTGAATATATCCTTCCTGAATTTAGAGACCATTTAAAGAATAGATTTGATGCATTGAACACCAACGACTGAAAACCAGAGGAATTGTGGGATGACATCAGGAACATCATCCATAAAGAAAGCAAGAGGTCACTAAAAAGACAGGAAAGGAAGAAAAGACCAAAATGGATGTCAGAGGAGACTCTGAAACTTGCCCTTGAATGGAGAGTAGCTAAAGCAAATGGAAGAAACAACAAGATAAAAGAGCTGAACAGAAGATTTCAAAGAGCAGCTCAAGAAGACAAAGTCAATTACTACAATGAAGTGTGCAAAGACCTGGAGTTCGAAAACCAAAAGGGAAGAACATGCTTGCCATTTCTTAAGCTGAAAGAACTGAAGAAAATAATTAAGTCTTGAGTTGCAATACTGAAAGATTCTATGGGCAAAATATTGAATGATGCAGGAAACATCAAGAGAAGATGGAAGGAATACAAAGAATCACTGTACCAAAAAGAATTGGTTGATGTTCATCCATTTCAGGACGTGGCATATATGAAGAACCAATGGTACTGAAGGCAGAAGTCGAGGCTGCACTGAAGGAATTGGAGAAAAACAAGGCTGCGGGAATTGAGAGAATACCGATCGAGATGTTTCAACAAACAGACGCCCTGCTGGAGGCACTCACTTGGCTATGTCAAGAGATTCGGAAGACAGCTACCTGGACAACTGACTGGAAGAGATCCATATTTGTATCCATTCCAAAGAAAGGTGATCCCACAGAATGTGGAAATTATAGAACAGTATCATTAATATAATATCCAAGTAAAATCTTACAGAAGATACTTTAAAAACAGCTGCAGCAGTATATTGACAGAGAACTTTCAGAAATGCAAGTTGGATTCAGAAGAGGACGTGGAACAAGGGATATCACTGCTAATGTCAGATGGATCTTGGCTAAAAGCAAAGAATACTAGAAAGATGTTTACTTATGTTTTATTGACTCTGCAAAAGCATTTGATTGTGTGGATCATAACAAATTACAGATAACATTGAGAAGAATGGGAATTCCAGAACACTTAACTGTACTCATGAGGAACCTGTACATAGACCAGGAGGCTGTCATTCAAACAGAACAAGGGGACACTGCATGGTTTAAAATCAAGAAGGGAGTGCATCAGGGTTGTACCCTTTCACCATACTCATTCAATTTGTACACTGAGCAAATAATCTGAGAAGCTGGGTTATAAGAAGAAGAATGTGGCATCAGAATTGGAGGAAGGCTCATTAACAACTGGCGATATGCAGAAGATACAATTTTGCTTGCTGAAAGTGAGGATGACTTGAAGCACTAACTGATGAAGATTGAAGACTACAGTCTGCAGTATGGATTACACCTCAATACAAAGAAAACAAAAATCCTCATGACCAATAAACAGCATCACGATAAATGGAGAAAAGATTGAAGTTGTCAAAGACCTCATATTACTTGGTTGCATAATCAACACCAATGGAAGCAGCAGTCAAGACATCAGACGACATATTGCATTGGGCAAATCGGCTGCAAAAGACCTCTTTTAAGTGCTGAAGAGCAAAAACATCTCCTTGAAGACTAAGGTGCGCCTGACACAAGCCATGGTATTTTCAATTGCCTCATAGGCACGTAAAAGCTGGACAATGAGTAAGGAAGACTGAAGAAGAGCCAATGCTTTTGAGTTGTGGTGTTGGAGAAGAATGCTGAAAGTACCATGGACTGCTAAAAGAACTAACAAATCTGTTCTGGAAGAAGTGCAGCCAGAATGCTCCTTGGAAGTGAGAATGGTCAGACTTCATCTCATTTATTTTGGTCATGTTGTCAGAAGGGACCATTCCCTGGAAAAGGATATCATGTTTGGTAAAGTGGAGGGTCAAGGAAAAGGGGGAAGGCCCTCCACAAGATGCATTGACACAGTGGCTGCAATGATGGGCCCAGGTATAGCAAGGATTGTGGAGCTGGCACAGGACCGGGCAGTGTTTCATTCTGCTGTGCATAGGGTCGCTGTGAGTCAGAGGCGTCTCAATGGCACCTTACAACATAACAGTAACAATATTTATATGCAATATCTGAAATAGACAAATGCACAGACACAAAGCAGATTAGTGGTTACCATAGTAGGTGTGGGGATGGCCGGGATATTCTGTCTCAGGGGATGAAAAAGTGTTGGAAACAAACAGTGGGGACTTTACAACACTGTGAGTGTGATTAACGTCACTGGACTGTGTAGGTGATAATTTTTTTTTTTGAGATTAATATGGTTTATTCTTTTATTTATTTATTTATTTATTTAAATTGTGATCTGGGTGAGAATTTACAAAGCAAATTCACTTTCCACACAGTAGTTCACATACACTGTGTCTCATGACATTGACTACAATTTACCCCAATGCAACAGCTCCCCTCCCACTTCCTCCCGACAGTCACCTCTTCCCTGTGTCCATTCCTCCCTGAACTCCTGTCCCCTGAGCTGTCTCCCTGTGCATAAACAGCCCTTCTTTCTCCCATGATTGTTCTCTCCAAGGAGTATATGTTCAACTCATATGCCTGTCTTTTTGTTGGCTGGAAGCCACAGGTGTGGGTTCAATTCCAGACCTGAAGGGCATGTAGGTGATAAATTTTGTGTTGTGTATATTTTACTACAATAAAAAGAATAGAATGGGAGGAAAAAGGAAACTTGTTAAGAAGAGTAAGACCAGGCAAACCAGGTACTTTGTTTGGCCTCACCACTGATGCAATAAATACTGAGCACCTGTTTTAGGTGCGGGGGCTACAGTGACAAGCACGGCAGACCCAGACGTTGGCATTCACTTTTAGTGGAACTTCTAGCACATTCTCTCTGCAGTCACACTGCCAAACTCCAAAACGAAACTCACTGCAGTCAAGTCGACTTGACTCATAGCCACCCCTCCTTGGGTTTCTGAGGTGGTATCTCTAGCGAAATAGATTGCCCAATCTTCCTTCTGAGGAGTGGCTGGTGGGTTTGAACCACTAACCTTCTGGTTAAGTCAAATGCCTTAGGCACCACACTACCAGAGCTCCCAGTCACACTATGGTTGACACTATATTATTAGTAGATTACTGAGTTACGTGACTCAAGTATGTGATGGTACCAGGCTCGAGCTATCCTTGTCCACAGTAAGAAAGTGGATGTGACCCCTGAACTGGCCTGATGGAGCCCCTAGCCAGTGCAGAGTGGACACTGCCACCGTTTGCCTGACTCTCCCTCTCCTACACCCTCCTGTGGTTGATCAGATGCCCTGCCAGGAGGCACACTGTATCCTTAAAGAAGGCACTAGCTTCCAGCAAGTAAAACCAGCAAATAAAACCCAGCAAGCTTGGGCCTTCTGTGTTGAGACGTGAGCTGTGGAGAGGGTATTCTTCCTATGTCGGAATCAGCTAGTCATATTATTTCTAACTACAAATGAATAAAACTATGTGTAAGACACACACACACACACTGTCCTGTCCTTTGCAGAGCTCACATGGTATGTGTGTTACAGGCAGGACAGATTACAGATGTGCTTGTGTTAAGACTGAGGTGCTCTGCTGGTGTAGTGGTTAAGTGCTTGGCTGCTAGCCAAAAGGTCAATGGTTCAAACTTGCCAGCTACTCTGCAGGAGAGAGAAGAAACCGTATTGGGCAGTTCTACTCTGTCTTACAGAGTCACTATGAGTTGAAAGTGACTTGATAGCAACAGGTTGGGGTTTGGTTTGCACTGAGACTACTTGGCTGGGCAGAAAGTCTCACTGGGCCATGACCCCCCCTAGTTCCAGAAGCTTGGTGAGAGCTGGACCTGCAGAGAAGTTGGCACTGTGCCAGGTCAGTTCCTCAGGAACAAAGATCAGAGATACCATGCAAATTTTTTTTTGTCTTTGTCTTTTTAAATGTGGTCCCCCACCCTTAATATTGAAGAGCATACCCAGTATGGCCCAGAATCCCTCTGCCCAGAAGCCTTTGCTGCCCACCTCTTACTTTTCATGGTGTCCATGAGGTGGCGTTGTTGGAAGTTGGTCAGTTTGGATTCCTTCATCATCACTGCAAGATCAAGCATCCCCATGAGGCCACTGGACTGCAGGCAGATGCCTTCATTCCATCTCATGTAAATTTAAGATTGGGCCCCCTCCATTCTGCACCTGCCATTCCTGCTCTCCCTTCCCTGCTTTGTCTTTTCTGCAGCACTCATCACCATTCAAGTTCCATATATTTATTTTGTTTTTCTCCTACTGGAATACTGGCTCCATGAGAGCATGAATTGTTACCCCCCTCCCCCCGTTTTGTTAACTGCTGTATCCCCAGTCCCTATAACAGTGTCTAAAGCATAAATGAAAGAGCTCTGGTGGCACTTAATGTTTTGAGCTGCTAACCAAAACGTCAGTGGTTCGAACTCACCAGCTGCTCCAGGGAGAAAGATGAGGCAGTCTGTTTTCAAAAAGATTTGCATGGACACTGTGGTAGTTAAGTTATGTTTCAACTTGGCTAGGTCATGGTTTTGAGTGGCTCGGCAGCTGGATGTAGTTATTGCTCATGATGAGACTGGTGATCAACCCCATGGTGGAATCTGCCTTAGGGATGCGGTCTGCTTCCAGTATATAAGGAGACGTGTTGAGAAAGGTCTCTGCAGCTTTATGGCTTGCCTGAACCCTGCACGTAGCTGAGTCTTCATCCAGCAGTCTGCCACATTTCCTGCCAATCTTGGGACTGTCACTGGACTTGAACTAGTGGCCTGCCATGTTGGTTGGTAATCTAGGGACTGTGCCATTTTACATGTCAACCTTAGGTTTGTCAACCTCAGCAGCCAGCAGCTGCCTGAGGTAAGAGAAGCCTCTAGCTTTAGTGGGCTGGGAGCAAGAGTCAGAGCTGAAGCCCGAGGTCAAGGGGTTTGCACCCTGCCCCTAGAGCTGGCACTTGGAACTTGGACTTCTAGACTCCAAAACTGTAAGAAAATAAATTCCTGTTTGTTCAAGCCATCCCATTTGTGGTATTTCTGTTAGAGTGACACTAGAGAGCCAAAACAGACACCCTATGGGGCAGTTCTACTCTGTCCTACAGGGTCACCTGAGTCAGAATCAGCTCAGTGGCAGTGGGTCCAGGTGGGTTAAAGCACATATAAACCAGGTGCCATCAAGTTGGTTCTGACTCCTGGTGACCCATGAGGGTTTCCAAATCAGTGACCTTTGGGAAGCAGGTCACCAGGCCTTTCTTCTGAGAAGCAGCTGGATGGGCCTGAACCATCAGCCTTTAGGTTAGTAATTAAAGTGCTCAGCGGTATGTGCTACCCAGAGACTCCTAAAGTGCACAGAAGGCTTGTTAAACGTTGAGTGAATAAATGAGCAAGTATTCACCAAGCATGTGCCAGGGGCTGGAACTGCAGCGGTGAAGCCCAGACAATCCCTGCCCTGATGGAGTTCATCATATCATGGGGAGAGGGACATTAACCCAGTGGACACAACTAAATATCTGACTACAGGCTGGGCTAAGCCTGATGAAGAAAAAGGTATTTGGTAATGTGAGGGCAGTAACAGATGGTTCTGGTGTGGTGGTGGTAGTGGATGGGATGGGGGTGGGGGGTTTCCCTGGAGAAGCTGGAACCAAAAACCAAACCAAACTCACTGCCATCGGGTTAGTTCCAACTCATAGCAACCCCCACTGGGTTCCTGAATCTTTACAGAAGTAGATTACCCCATCTTCCTTCCGCAGAGCAGCCAGTGGGTTTGAACCGCTAAACTTCTGTTTGGCAGCTGAATACCTTATCCACTACGCCAAAGTTGGAAATGTGTCCTAAAACATGCACAGGAGTCAACGACTCCAAAATTCTTAGCTCGTCCTTCAACACACTGACCTCTGAGCAGCTCGCAGGTCCTGGGGGTGTAAGTGGTCGTCTGGGGACAGCGCCAGAACCCAGTTCCTTTGGGCATTGCCCCTACTCTCTCCTGGGAAGCCATGGCAGAGCCCTGAGGAGAGAAAGATGCAATGAAACACTACGTCTCCCAGTCCTAACCACTATTGCCTCTCCCTCAAACCCACCCGAAGTCTGGGTGTGAGGGTCTGGGATCAGGGTCGCAGGACAATCGTGACGCCTCCAGTAAATATCGCGACAGTATTCGATCCTCTAACCCTGACACAACAGCCAGACACACACACACAGAGTCTTCATCTAGACCCAGCGCCTGTGGCAGGAAAGTTCCCTCACGAGAAACAGCGTTAAAATCGCCGTGGTCACGACAACACCCATTGAGTGATATGCTATACTTAAAACCTCACCCTAAAGCTAGACCTATCTGAATGCCCGCCCCCCACGGAAAGCGGCGCGTGGGCTCCAGGAGACAGAAACCACGACTCTACAGCAGCACCCCGCGCGAACTTTTGCTGTCTTTGCGACTAGAGCCAGCAGTTAGCGGCCCTGGCTACCATGGTAACGGGCGCACGCCTTTCGGCGCATGCGCGTGTTTGCCCCGCGACCTGCCTCTCGGAAGTAGTTGCCGCTGGGTCACTGCGCAGGCGCGGGGTGCGCGTGGCGTCGCGCTTGGCGTAGGCGCAGTTTGTGAATCTCCGCGCGGTTGTGGGGCGCAGGTCCTCGTGTTTGCAGCGCGGACATTATGTCAGATAACGAGGACAAGTGAGTGCAGGAGCGGCGTGGCCGTCGCGGGAGCCTGGGAAGGGGCGAAGGAGGCGGGGGCCTGGGTCAGAAGAGGCTGAGGAGCCAGGGGTCTAGGGGTAGTGTCTTAGGGGACGGGGATACGGAGGGGCCCGCGGAATTAGAGACCGGAAGGACCAGAAAGCAGGAGCCAGACCAGGTGATAGAGGCTGGACACAGAAAGGGCCCGGCTTGAAGGACCTTATTCAGTGAATAAGGTGTTTTTCAACAAACTGCCACTGAGTCGGGCTCTGTGTCTCGTAGTGGGAGTAGGAGTTGAATCAGGAGTTGAATTAGGCGATCACTCTCTAGGAAGTGGGAAGGTGAAATGTGACCAAGAATGGGCCTGGTGGACAAGGCAAGGAGCTTTACAAGTACCCTAAAGTACCCTAAAGTACGGAGACACGACAGGGTGTAGTGTTTGGGGGAATTTGGGAAACCACCTTGTGTTACGAGAGCAAAATGTGTCAGGGAGGAGCAGCTGAGAGACAGTGACGGGGCCAGTTGATGGAGGGCCCTTTTTTTTTTTTTTTTTTTAAATTGTGATTTGAGTGAAACAGCAGTTCACATACACTTTGTCTCATGACATTGACTACAATTTACCCCAATGCAACAGCTCCCCTCCCGCTTCCTCCCCATAGTTACCTCTTCCCTGTGTCCATCCCTCCATGCGCTTCTCCCTCCTAAGCTGTCTCCCTTGTGCATACACAGCCCTTCTTTTCTCCCATGATTGATCTGTCCAAGGAGTGTATCTACCTAATGTAAATGTTCAACTCATATGCCTGTCTTTTGTTTGGCTGGAAGCCATAGGAGTGGGTTCAATTCCAGACCTGAAGGGCAGCTAGGGGCCATAGTCTCAGTGGTTCCACCAGCCTCTAGCAGACCAGCAAACCTGGTTCCCCCCCTTTTCTTTTTCCAAGTGATTTTGAGTTTTGTTCCACATTGTTCTCCCTCTCTATCCAGGATCTCCTACACAGATCCCTCTCTGAGTGGTTGACAGTGGTAGCTGGGCACCATCTAGTTCTTTTGGTCTCATAGTCGTATAGGCTACGGATTGCATGGTGTACCAGTCGCTAGGACTAGTTCTTTCCATCAATCTTTGGTTTTCTTCATTGTTCTTTGCTCTGGATGAGGAGAGACCCATCATTAAATCTAGATGGCTGCTTGCAAGCTTTTAAGATCCCAGTCTCTACTCACCAAAGAAAGAGGTGGAACAATGTTTTGTGTAGTATGTTATGCCAATTGAGCTTGATGTTCCCTGCGACTATGGTCCCAAGCCCACAGATTCAACTACTCGCTCGATGGAGGGCTCTTGTAAAGACTTTATTCTTTATCTCTGAAGGAAAGGGGCATTGAGTTGTTTGAAGAAGTGGAGCGATAAGAGTTAGATTTTCTTTTTAGAAGAGATACTTTGTGAACATCAGGATGAGTGGATTCAGAGAGTTGGATTGGAGGAGAAAGAACAGTTAGGAAGCTGTTGCAAAATAGATAAACTGTGAAAGGATGGGGACCTGCCTTTATTTTGTGACCATGGAATAGAGGGGAGGGTGCCAAGAGATTTTAGGAGGTAAAATGGACAGGACTTGCTGACAGGATGTGTCTTTGAGAGAGAGATGGAGGATGAGGGCTTTCTAGCTTGAGACCTGGGTGAGTGGTTCTTCCAACCATGATAGAGAACCTGGAAGAAAGAGCAGGTGGTTATTGTCTTCTTTGGTTGTAGCAGGATGATCCCCCGAGGTCCAGAAAGGTGGTGAAGAGTGCAGGTGTGAGAGGCACGGTCCCGAAGTCTGTTTTATACATGCCATAAATAGTGAATCTGATTGCATTGGCTTATTTTTGAAACAAATATTTATGTGTCAGGTGCTTGGAATATCCAGATGAATGAATTAGGGGGAAGAATAGGTGAAGACAGATGATAATAGGCGGTAGTGTAGTGCCGAAGGCATGTGACTGTTAACCAGAAGGCTGGCGGTTCAAACCCACCAGCCAGTCCTTGGAAGGAAGGTTGGATCAACTACTTCTGTAGTTACCACCTTGGAAACCCAAGCAGGTGTCACTATGAGTTGTTTCTGACTCGACGGCAGTGAGTTTGGTTTTTGATTTTGGAGAAGAAAGCAAAACAAAACTCACCACCATTGAGTCTGTTCTGACTGATAGCGACCCCCATTGGGTTTCCAAGGCTGTAAGTGTTTGTGGAAGCAGACCACCTCGTCTTTATTCCACGGAGTGGTCAGTGAGTTCAAGCCATTGACTTTTTGGTTAGCAGCCAAAGCTCCTATATAGTATGTTGTTGTTGTTGTTGTGTGCCGTCGAGTCAAACCCGACTCATAGCGACCCCTCCTTGGGTTTCTGAGGCAGTATCACTACAGAAGTAGGATTGCCCA